GGGCCTGTTGGCTGACCTTAGTCCTAMCCATATAAAAGAAGGTGATGAGGTCACTTTCCAGGAAGGTGTGATGAGAAAAGGATGCAGGTAAGAAGTACACTAATGGTTCAGAAGTGCTTTACAACTTTGTAAAACCATGTCCTTATATTAACAAAGATCTAGAAARAGTCTCAAAATTTTAAAGTGGTTTCTTGGGATCATTGCTTACATTCCTCTTTTTTTTTTTTTTTTAAAGAAAACTAAATGGAGCAAATAATATCAAATGAGAAGCACAAGTGGGTAAGAAATGTATAGGTGAAAAAAAACCCTGAAATTTGGTGTTAAATAATATTCTGAAACTTCTTTTTCCTATTCTTYTTATCTTTTCAGTCATAGTTATAGAACGACATAGTGAAAAAACCAAGAATCACAAATATACCTCTCTGCTTTAGATACTTTAGATCCCTAGAGGGAGAACTACTAGGAACATTCAAGTTATTGTGTGTATATGTGTGTTTTCTTCTTCTTCTTTTTTTCTGATAGTTATTGCTATATCTCTCAGCAATATCTTTCGGATTTTTGTTGTTTTTTTGATTTTTTGTTTTTAAAGAGAGTGAGAGAGAGAGATAATTTTTTAATTTTTTTTTTTTTTTTAGTTTTCGGTGGACATAACATCTTTGTTTGTATGTGGTGCTGAGGATCGAACCCAGGCCACACGCATGCCAGGTGAGCGTGCTACCGCTTGAGTCACATCCCCAGCCCCTGTTTTTTTTTTTTTTTTTTGTTGTTGTTGTTGTTTTTTGAGACTGTTTCTTGCTAAGTCACTAAGGATCTTGATAAATTGTTAAGGGTTGTCTTAGACTTGCAATTCCCCTGTCTCAGCCTTTCGGATGCTTGGATTACAAGAGTGAACCACTATGCCTGGTTCTCAGTAATATCTTATATTATTTTTTGTTCTTAATTTACTTTTAGACATAAATTAATGGCTCTCCAGATTAGCTCACAACACATCCCACCTCTTAGTGTGGTATATCAACTTCTGAAACCTTTATAGGCTTCTCTTTTTGGGCTGGGGATATAGCTCAGTTGGTAAATGCACTATGCCCTGGGTTCAATTCCCAGCACCACAAAGGAAAATAATAATAATATAGGCTTCTTTTAGGTGTTTACTAATATACTTTCACTTTTTTATTCTTATTCTGTTAACTATGGACAGTACTTGTTGGCTCTCTACTGTATATGATGGCAGTATTGTAAAGGTAAAATTTCTAAGCTGATTCTGAGCTGCAAAAGTCTGAGTTAAAGTGTAAAAGACCAGGCATTGTAAAGCTTCTAAATGGCAAGGCCTGGGCTAAAAAGTAAAGACTAGGTATTGTTAAAATTCTTCTGCTACCCCCGGAACTTGTAATCCCTGTAGCTGTTAGGACAATGCTGGAACTGCCCAGTAAATATCTCCATTGATTCCCTGGTTGTTTAATAGCTAAGGGCTCC